TGTCCATTCTTTTGAATTAACAAATGGTTTGGAAAATGTTAGAATAATTCAATGAACCAATAAGCAGTTTTATGATACATAATTTGGTTTATTTAGAGAATAATATTTTTCAACTTTATAGTTTTTTTTATGAAAAGCTATTACTTCACTGGTAGTAAAATTCTTTAACATTACTCTCATTTCAGGTTTTCCATTGCCCTTGCTCTTTCACCAAATTTTGGTCAGCAAAGAGCAAATGAAAAGGGAAATACATAAAACAGATGGTTTTGTTAAGAGACAATACAATCATTGAGGTGATCACTATCCTTATTGTGAAAAATTAAGTATTAAAACTGGTCTTAAAAACTTCCAAAAGAGATACTATAACCTAAGAAATAAACAGTTTATAGCATATAACTTTTTTCTGTCCCCTAAAATATATCCTAACATTTCTCTAAAACTTTCTCTTACTGCACTGGCCCTTTTTAAGTAGGTGTTGATAAGTGTGTGTTAACATTTCCTCACTTCCAATAACAACTTTGATTTGTGCTATCGAATGTTAACATACTTCTGTCACAGGAGAATCCTGTACCCAAACTTATTAGATATTGATTTCCAGTCACTTTCAGCAGCAGTCATGTTGCCCTTACATCATTCATTGCCTTTCCTATGTCCTTCTTTGGCAAAATAATCCGGCCCCAGTCAGGCTTCTCGGAGTGCCATGTGGCAAATGCATTTGGTATCCGTGATGCTGGGACCCTTCAGAGGTCTTGGTTCGTTACATTTGGAATTGGGATGCTTGGCCATGCTGCCACATTCAATAAGTCTTTATTAACTGGAAAGGAGTAGGTTTTATTTTCACAAAATTTTAGCCCATTTGGAAATAAGCCAACCTAGACCACAGTATAGTTGCTTATAATGTTGGCTTCCAGTTGCTGAGTGCCTGTGATGTGCCAGGCACTTCCAGGATAAGCCACGTGTGAGCAAATGTGGATCCAGAAGGAACATGTACCCTGAAGCAGTCAGCAGACCTGCCAGTCAAACCCTCAAGATACTCCCTTCTGAATACCTATATATGTGTTTATCACTTTATCACCTCGCGTTTGATGGTTTGTCATGAAAGAGCTCAAATGAATTAATTTCATAACATACCTGTAGCTGTGGTCAACCTCTTCTTTCCATAATTATAAAGAAATGAACGCTTACCATCTAAGGGTGATCACTTAGAGATATTAAAAAGAAATCTCCCCGAAATTCGGCCAGAAATCGGAACTGTCTCAGGTAGTTTAGGCCTCAAGGAGAGGTACCGGCTGATGCTTCAAAACCACAGCCTGGTAGCAGATTCTGCTGCTCTCCTGCCCCACCTCCCGCTCCAAGGCATCCTCTTCTCTCCGCAAACCTGGGCCCAGGTAGATGGAGGGAGTTGTTTGGAATCTCACAACGACCTCTTTGGAGAACCAGGAGATGTAATCACAACTCCATAGTCAATAAGGCTGATGGATTTGGGGCAGAGTCTACCTGTCATTTCACTTTGGTGTCCCCTATACCTGCTAACACCTTGCCTTCCACCTGGACTGTCCTAAACACATATCTGCTGGGTTTAAAAACATGTGCCTCTTTCACATTTAGAATTATTGAGGTCGTTCATAACAACTACATAGAATCAAGAACATGATCTAACTGATAATTAATAGCTATTGCCTGTTGGAATGCCTACTTGTGCTGGCCATTGAGTTCAATGCCATGATTTGGGGGCCTTATAATAGCTAGGGCATGGCAGAGATAGTGTTCCCATTTTACAGATGAGCCCATGGGGTTCGGGTCCTAGAAATAGAGAAGCAGCTTAGCGGTCATCCAGCGATGCTGCCAGACTGTCCATGAGTCACTAGTAGTCACATTAGAATGAAATAGGAAAAAGGAAAAATCAGTCTTCATACTCAGGAGCTCCTCTCCTGCCTTCTAGGTCTTATATACACATCCGCGCCCACACCAGCCCTATGCATGAAGCCTAAGAAGTCCTTGGTAACCCTCTGTGGAAATACCTTCTGAGAGTTTCTCCCGGGAAAAAAGATGGGGAGAGGGGCTGTTGTCAAAGAAGACATTTCAAGAGAGAAAAAATGGAGCTAGTTCATTTGCATTAGCTAATTAGGGGGAAAAAATCATTTCTATTGTTCTCCTGTGTCTTTTCTCACTGCACCTCCAACTTGCTCTCTGATGTTGAAATCAGATATTATTTGTTTAGTGAATGGCTACAAATGAAAGACTTAAAAGAATAGCTGTCAGTAAAACTAAGCCCTTAAATGTGGCCCTCAGAAATCAGATGCAACCTGTGCAGGCTGCTCAGAGAGTGAGGCTGGGAAAAGCAGCGCTGAGGTATTTACTAATGAAGGAAGACTGTGTTGCTGTAGCCGTTCAGATAAGCTCGGAGCGGCTTCTAATCCCTCTGCCAAGCCCAGATGTGTGCCTGCGCACACACGTTAGAATGTTTAGTGTTCCAGAAGCTCCCTTTGTGAAATATTTCCTGAGAGAAACAGCAGTGTTTAAATATATTTGCTTTAAAGAATTGCCCCCAATTTTTGCAGTTGACTTTGATTTTAAAACATCTTCTTTGTAAAAAGTAAGACTAAAGTACATTATTTAAATTGAGTACAAAAGCTTTTTTTTTAGCTAACAATATTCACAATATTTATTCCTTATAATCATGTTTGGTGGAATTTTTTTCCTAAAGGGTTCGGAGTCTAAGACAGTAATAGTTGCAGTTCTAAACTTATTACTAGCATGATGAGAACGATTAGTGCAATTTTAGTTTATCTTTTGTCTTGAGTATGGAGGGGATATGTGGATGAAAAGTCACTGAATAATGGAGCCATTTGTCCAGATCTCACTAAAAGGCCGGCTCATGGTTCCTTCCTGTATTCCCTTTGTCTTCCCTCACCAATGGGTCTGAGGGTAACCGAGGCCAAGCTTTGAAATACGATTGCATTGCATCTGGTTCGGTGCCTTGAACTGACCTTATACATTTACTTCTCTTTTTGTGCCCGCCATAGTACATTTGTCCTCCTGGGATTTGAACTGTTGGTTTTGATTTGAGAGGGTTGGCATCCAGCTGAAACTGTCAAGTGATGAGTTTGAGTTTCTCTCTTGATTCTTCACCTTAACACATCGCTGGCCTCCTCTCCCATGTTGAAATAAGAGGCCTCCAAAGTTACTTCTGGCCTTTGCAGCATGACATCAACTTGACATCTATTTCATGGTTGAAAACAGAGCCTTTGGCTTAATTTTTGTGTTTGTGTGCGTGTGTGTGTGAGTGTGTGTGTGTGTGTGTTTCCATTTCTATGGTGGCTACATTAGTGTTGGCTCCATTCAGGTAGGGGCCTTGGCTAAGTCTGTCCGGATACAGCTTGGGTTTTAACGGGTGGTCAGAAAACACAGAGGTGCTAAGCCCTGGCCACTGCCTCAGTGTTCTTACAGTCTTTTCCTCATGTTGTCTTTCTTTTGAGTTTGAACAAATGGTAGACATATAATACACGGAAGACTATTTTGTGCTCTAGGAATCATACAAATAATTTTTTATAAATCCTATTAAGAGACAATTTTTCCATTTTACTGCCAACTATTTTTGTTTGCTTTTCATGAACTAGATATTTTTGTGTGGTCTCGCTGTTGAAATAAAGGCACAGGAGTCAAACATTGTAAAGTCAATATCTGTGTTATTGTTTAACTGTACATTTAGGCGTTTTTCTCTTTTTTTCTTTTTCTTGTCTAGGAAATTGTGTAAAGGATAAAACCTCTCCCTTTTTAGAAGGCCCCGCGTCCTTTGAGGAGTAAATGCTCTATGAAATGGAAAATTACAATATTTCTCACAGAATGATACTGATATTTATAGTCAACACAAAAGCAAATAATTAGTAATACTATTCACTGGTCGAAAAAATTCTAGCATCTGTGCTAATAATGCCTTACTGTTTTATTTCAATCCAATGGTTGTAACTTTTACCTCTTTCTTTTTCAAGTAGAAGGTGTGTTTCCTAATATTAAATAGTACTAGATTTCTTTGCCTAGAGAAATACATTTTGGTTTGTTTCCGTAGGAATTACTCCCATTTTTCTTTTAATCTGAGATAGAAAGGGTAAATATATTCTGATCTATGGCCTTGCTAGAAAATACAGTGTTGTGTGTGTGTCATTTTTCATTATGCTTTTTAATGCCCAAAGGACACATTCAGTAAATTTGAGTCGTATTGCAGACCTTGAATTATTCTTTGCTGCATGTTGAATTAATTGGGTGAATACTTTTTTAAGTGCTTTTCTTCGACTCCACATAGAAATGGTAGATTATTCATCTCAAATGAATAAATTTTAAATTATTTAAACTTTGCACTGCTAGTGTGTGACCCTCTGAGACTTTTTTTTTTAAGAACAGACAGCTCATTTTTTCCTAGACATTGCAGATTTAATTTGTCTTGAATGCAAGCACCATTTTTCTTGTATGTTAAAAAACGCTATGCTGTTTATTATACTTTGATTGATTTACAAATTATGCCCACTTTTCTTTAAATGAACATATTTGGAAATTGTGATAGCACAAGATGAAATAACATGTGCCTTTAAACCTTGATGGATGAAGGCTCACTATCTCACCGTGTGGTGTAAATGCCTACGTGGGATCTTCCCGCTGCAATTCTTAATGTCTATCCCGGAATAGACTTGTGTTTTCTTTTCAAGTATTCTGAAGTTTCACATACCTCTCTACTTATTTTACCGGCAACAATCTGCAGTTTATTTTTCTCCGGGAAAATTGAATCTGTTACTGCTTAGTATTCCTACCAGTTTGAAAAATGTGGTTTATATTGGCATCAGAGCAGTCATTTACATATATTGGGATAACGGGAATGCGTGCCAGAAAAAGACCCACATGAACTGAAATGCAGAAAAGCTGTTTTCCTCCAGCAGCAACTCACAGTGGAGCTAATAGAGAAATGGTTGAGCGCCGGCCCTGAATGTGTCGCTCCTCTCTTCCAGGTGAAGTGTGACCAGTACTGGCCCAGCAGAGGCACAGAAACCCACGGGCTGGTCCAGGTGACGCTGCTGGACACCGTGGAGCTGGCCACATACTGTGTCCGAACCTTTGCACTTTACAAGGTTTGCTTTTGATGTTTTTACCTCCTTTTCCCCCTTCCCAATATTGAAGGAAGATTCTTTTGAGAAATCACGTATCTGAAGGCTTTATTTATAACTTGATTCCCCTGGCAGCGGTGAAGAGTGAAATAATCCTTCCATTATCGCTCAGCCATTTTTCTCTTTGTCGATTTATTAGTAAATATGGAACCCTTGCTCTGAACGAAAGTTTCGGCAAATGAAGAATAGATGAGGAAGAACCACTTTTTCCTGTAAAATATAACAGGAGCGCTCCTGATAGTTACCCCTGAAAAATGTCGTGCTTCTCACCTAGGCATTTTATCTTCCTGGACAAACGTGTGTCATTTACAAATAGCTCGGGGTTTATATCTCCAAAAAGCGTGTCTTCCCAAAGGATAGTGGGTCGGGGGAGGAATCCAGATGCACGTTGTCGTGTCACCTCTTCCACGTCATGACTCCTCCTTACAACCTGGGCTAGGAAACCAGCTTTTCAGCCAGTGTTCCTACTTCACAGAACGGGTCCAGCGAGAAGCGAGAAGTGAGGCAGTTCCAGTTCACCGCCTGGCCCGACCACGGCGTCCCAGAACACCCGACACCTTTCCTCGCTTTCCTCCGGAGAGTCAAGACCTGTAACCCTCCGGATGCAGGCCCGATGGTCGTGCACTGCAGGTAGGACCACAGAGAGCACTTGTTTTCCCCGCGGTCAGGTGTGTGGGGAGACAGGAAGCGCCAATGGTTCCTCATTGGATTTTCTCTTTCCAGTTTTTAATCCTCTGGGATAGTAAATACCTTCATAAATAATGCAGGTGGGGTTTTTCAGTTAAATGAGGCCTATACTAACAATAAAAGGAAGGATTTGATGTAGATCCATATACCTTACCAGGTTTTTATCTTTCATGTGAAAATAAATAAACACAAAATTAAGTGTGCACATGGGCATAAATATATGAACATGAAACAGAAAAGAATTGAGAATTTTTTATTTTCTTTATTGATTAAGGTATTACATGTGTATCCTATTCTGCCCCCCTCCCCACCCCCTCATGCCCTCACCCCCCTGGTGTCTGTGTCCATTGGTTATGCTTATATGCATGCATACAAGTCCTTTGATCTCTGAGAATTAATCTTGTAATTAGTTTCCAGTTTCAGCTGTGTAGAGGAATATATATATATATATATATTACAGTTGTTCGACAAGTTCTTAAGGGCTGGGCTGATATATCCTTTTACCTATGGTAGGGAAAAATGCTAAACTAAATTATATTGTAAACTTACTAGTATACACTTTCAGAGAATTTCTTACTGCTTAAGGATGTCTTCTGCATGTTAATATTATCAAGTCACATCTAGACAAATCTGACTGACATCCTCTATGTCACCACTCAGACCCTACCTATTTGTTCACATATTTTCAATATGAAACTGAATTCTTTCAGTTTCCTGAGTTCCTTTAGAGTATTATTACTCATAGATTATTAAAGATATCTAGTCACATTCTACTTATTACTATACTAGAGGCCTGATGCGTGAAATTTGTGCACTCGAGAGGTTCCTCAGCCCGGCCTGTGCCCTTTTGCAGTCCGGGACCCCGCAGCGGACATCCCTCTCACAGTGTGGGACTCCTCACTCCTTACTGCCCACTTGCAGTGGAAGTGGGAGAGGCTCCCTCCACCACTGCTGCACTGGCCAGCTGTGAGCCAGGCTTCTGGCTAAGTGGCACTCCCCCTGTGGGCGTGCACTGACCAGCAGGGGGCAGCTCCTATGTTGAGTATCTGCCCCCTGGTGGTCAGTGTGCGTCATAGCAACCGGTAGATCCGCCATTCGTTCGATTTGCATGTTAGGGTTTTATTGTATAGGATAAATGTATAGTTCATGTAACTTCCTAATAGTTTTTTATAAACTAAGTAGCTCAAATATGAGAGACTATGGCTTCTTGCACAGAAAACTAAGATTGCAGTGTGCAAGTTATATTAGGAAGGAAACAAAGCTTCTACCATAAACCCAGTTCTATGATGATTTAATAGCATAACTCTCTATCTTTACAAAAAGATGGGACAATGATAGACCAGAATAAAAGCAACAAAATCCACCTGACTAATCCATGCTGCAATAGTAATAGTTAAGCAATGGACTGCAAATTCTAAACAAGATAACATTGTAGTTCTCTTTTGTAGCAGTTATTTTTCCCAACAAAAGCAAATAATAACATTACCTAATATTTATAGAGTTTTATACAAATTCTAATCCACTCCCCCATGCTTTATTTTGTTTTATGTTTTTAATGACAGTATGCTGGGTGAAGAGATGAGAACACAAGAGAGACTATGGGGTTCGGTGCAATATGGTAGCTGCAGAGGTGGAGGAGTCCAGTCGATCTCACCTTGTAATCTAGGTCTCACTCTGCTGTAACCAGGACAGGGACCTTTGAGGACCTGCCACTGTGGTGTAGTTTTTTGCATGATTCTTAAACACTAGAAATTACTTTTATTAATTTGAGCAAATGCTTTCACATCATGAAAGCAGGTTTCTGGTTCTCCTGCCCATTGATTTCATCAGGTGCTAGTTTGACCAGTATAATGTACCCTCTTACACATCTTAGCAGGCCTCAAAGAGACATGGTGCCTGATTACAAGGTGTTCCTGCCTGGCACGAGCTTAACTTCATTATGAGGGTCACACGTTAAATCATAAAATGTTTTCAGATGGAGTTTGGGCTCAGGAAAGGGAAATAGGAAGTTTGAGCTCACTGAAGAAATGACGCCCTTATATACCTAACGGCAAAAATGCAGCTCACACAGAGATGTGTGTGTGTGTCTATGATATATATATATATATATATATATATATATATATATATATATATATATATATATATATAACTTGGAAGTCTTTACTGAAAAACAGCAGTATTATATGTTCATTGCATTTTGAAATACAGCATGTTTACTCTCTCAAAGTTTTCTGTAAATTAAAGTGAGGTCCTGGAAAACTAAGATGATAGATAGATAGATAGATAGATAGATAGATAGATGATAGACAATTTTAAAATGCCATTTACTCTCTGTTGATCGTAAACAAGGCATAAGGCTTTAGATACTTAGAGAGACCCACAAAACAGCTTTTAAGCAAGTAGGAAGGGAAAGATAGATAACTATAATGCCTTATTTTGAGAAAATACATACCCCCACCCACCCCCACACACCCCCTTAAGTTATGTTAAGCCACCTGCACTCAGCTGGGAGAGAGATGGATGGCTCAGGAGAAACAAGGAAACAGAGATGAATGTGCAGAGCTAATAGCTGCTGACATTTGGAAGTGCTGTGCCTGAGGCTCTGGAGAAGCTGGTATTGAAAAAAACAGCAGAAGGGCAGGTATATTTGGTGGAAGAAATTTGTCAGCAGCTACAACACGGTGAGGGAAAGATGCAGCATAAACTGAACTCCGGGAAATGACCTGTGTTCACCCCCAGGTAACCTCATGTGTCCGGTGAGAAACCTTGGCCTCTTTATTCAGGAGAGACCATGTCCATGTTGCCAACATTCAAACCATCATGAGTCTTTGGGCACCAGAATGTTAAAAGTCGTGAGCATAATTGTTCTGATAGGGTGGCAAATTCAAGTCGTTCCAGATAACAACTGCTCATGTGCATCCCAGAAATGCTGGTGTAGACATCATCTCTGAGCAGGAAGGCACCATGCGGAAAGTTACACGAGCCCAGTCACAAGGAAATGCTGATGGTAGTTCAAGGGTCATGGCGCAAGTCATCACACCAGATAGTCTGGAATATATACACTGTACTTCATGTTGTGATGTTTCTAATAATGGATTTTAATTGTTTTATCTTTAATGAAGAAGTAGTGACAAACTCGAAGTAAACCCAAACCTTTACCCGGGAGATCCTGTGAGAATGGAGGAGGTTGTACAAGTCTGGTGTAGACAAAAAAAAAAGGGGGGGGTAGAGGGAGCAGAAAAAAAGAAAATTCACATTCCTTCAATAGTTTTGTGTAGTAAAAATATGCCAGGACTAAAGAGTCATTATAAGTAGAAGAAATTCTAACAATAATAGTAAGAAAGTACAATAAGGATAGACTAATGAACAAGCATGGACAAAAGCTTGGAGGGTCACAGGGAAGGATACATTCTACCCCATTCCTAAGAGAGAGTCCGTTCAATCGGTGTAGAAGGAAGGATCAAGTCCAGCTGTCCCTCAGTTCAGGCCAAGCATCTAATTGCAGCATTAAGAGTGCCCCCTCGAAGACAAAGGCCGCCTGGGTAATGCTCTGGCTTGTTCTCTCATTGGCTGTGTGCCTTTTGGAAAGTTCTTATCTGTTAGATTCTGTTTCTTCACAGAAGGGGTAACTATTTATACCAATAAGAATTTTAACTTCTTAAATAGAATTATACACATAAAGCGCTTAGGACAGTGCATAGTGTAGAAGTATGCAATAATGTGACATCATTGGTATATTAATTAATGAGTGAGTCTTAAAAACCATATGTATATTTACAGCTCTAGGGAGAAAAATTCAACATGAACTTAGGTCATCTATATTACCTGAGCCATCTGTCCTGTGACTAACCAAGTGTTTATAAATACCCATATATTGAATTGAATGGATTATTTTTTTTAATCTAGGTATTTTCCATCATGATAATGCCATCTGATTTTTCATAGTAACAGACAACATTTTGACGCTGTGAGTTAGAATCATTTAAACAATAAATCTGCTCTCATAACAACCTGAGAAACCATTGGACTCTTAAAATGATGCTGTTAAAGATACAGAGACATTAATGTGGAGGTTCTTGATGCCTTCAAGATAAAGTTAGAACTTAGCATTGTGTTCATGGCCCTTATAACCTAGGCCAGTGGTCAGCAAACTGTGGCTCACGAGCCACATGCGGCTCTTTGGCCCCTTGAGTGTGGCCACGAAGTTTCAATCGCACTGTACGTGTGCGCCCGCATGTGGTATTTTGTGGAAGAGCCACACTCAAGGGGCCACAGTTTGCTGACCACTGACCTAGGCTGATCTCCCCCTTCACGCCTAATTGTTCACCCTTTCAGCCACCTGCTGAACATTCTAAGTACTTTCATCTCTGGCTCTCAGCAAAGGATATTCGACCAATCTAGAATCTTACTTATTCCCCTTCTCTATCTGCTGATGTTCAGCCCTGTTTCATAATCCAACTCAAAGAGTATTTCTCATGTGCATTGTAAAGGTTGCAAACTGGCCTCAGATGGTTTTGTTGATATAAAAGTGATAGTTTTTGTTTTTGTTGTAAACAAATTGAACTTGAGTGCTTTTAAGCTGGAATGCACTATCCAGTTCTCCAAACCATCACCACTCCCGGTTTTTTTTACACACAGCTCAACTCTCCATTTATAGGAATTGCTTCATATTATAAACATTTGAGGTGAAACCCTGGAGAAACCTTTAAAGGTCATTCCCCAATCCTTTCCCCACCGGAAGAATTAAACAGTCTTCTCTGAGCTCGCATAAAGGATTGTGTTCACACTTAGTATCTTTAGCTTTCTGTGTGCAGATCGCATATGCCGTGAAATCTTAGAGGATGTGGACTATGCATTATGCACATTTGTACCGCTGCTCATACATCATGGTAGGTGCTCAGTAATCCTGTGCTTCAGTTAGTTGAACTCTATATGGCACT